ATTATTATTATTATTATTATTATTATTATTATTATTATTATTATTCATCTTCTAGATATCCCCCTATCTGCACAGGAAAAGGCATTGATATTGAAATTAATAATATATATTTTAATATATTTTACAACTCAACCACATTCAAAATATATGCTTTATAAATAAACTGTTCATACTCTTCCAAGAAAGAGTTTGCAGGGTCTGTATAAATGAAGACTTAGCATAGATGGTAGAGGAAATAAATCCTAAAGTTAATGTTCATGTGTGCTCTTCAGAACCGCAGAAGACAGCTGTTTTTTCACAGTGTGCTCTTGGATCTTGAGCTGTCTTTGTAAAAGTGGCTATTGAAACAATGTCCTCATGAATGTCCACCTGTGACCTCCGTCTACAGGTAAGCAGTTTCTTCAGAGCCCGCTGAAAATCCCGGTTGAGGAAAGCATAGAGCATTGGGTTGATTGTAGAATTGCAATACCCTAACCACGTAATGATCTTGAAAGCATCAGAAAGAACTTTGCTGGTGGAACTGGTTCCTCTTGTGGCTAGCCATACATTGCACACAAAATATGGCAGCCAACACAAAATAAACACAGATATGAGGATGCTTATTGTGCGAGTCGCCTTGTTCTCAAGCTGCAGGTTGTTCTGGCGTTTACTTTGTGGATGGTAATGAAGGTCGAGGGTCTGAGAAACAATGCGAGAGGCTTTCAGCCGTGATGCACGATAGATGAAGAAGTACATGCTGCACATGACTGTGAAGGGGACGAAAAAAGCAAGGGCTGAGGCTATAATGGCAAAAATCCAGTTGGTGACAAAGATGCATTCTTTGCTAGCATCAAAGTCTATGCCAGGTATCTCATTCCAGCCTTTCATGACAGGTAAAAAGGAGATCAGGGAGGAATATACCCAAACGATACAAGTCATTACGACGCATCTGAGAATGGAAAAAAATGAGAATACTGAAACAGCTTACTATGTGGTGCACTTACCATAATTTTTAAATATATCTAAAGATTTACAATTTCCCTTGTACCATACTACATATGGAAAATGGAAAGAGACCATGGATAATCTAAATATGTTGGTCTCTGGGTTGTTGTAGGTTTTTGCAGGCTATATGGCCATGTTCTAGAGGCATACTCTCCTGACCTTTCACCTGCATCTATGGCAAGCATCCTCAGAGGTAGTGAGGTCAGATTTTGTTCATTTTCATGGTTTCCTCCTTTCTGAATGTTCAGCAAAGGGCAAGAGAGGTCCTCTCACTTCTGCAGGAGTCTACCGTATACCATGCAGCTGTGGAAAAGTCTGCATAGGGATCACCAAATGCAGCAGCATTGCCCAGACATGAATCAAGGAACACGAAAGGCACTGCAGACTACTTCAACCAGAGAAGTCAGCCATAGCAGAGGACCTGATGAACCAACATGGACACAGCATATTATTTGAGAACACAGAAATTCTAGACCACTCTTACAACCACCATGTCAGACTACAGAGGCTGAACAGTTTGCTCAAAGTCTTGTGCATTGTTGGATTTTTTTAAGAAATGAAATTTTAAATAGAAACCTCTTGGAATGCAGTTCTCTCTTCCAATTCCAATACCATAGCATTATGAATAACATGAGTTGTCAAAGGCTTTCATGGCCATAATCACTGCGTTGCTCTGAGTTTCCCCGTCTATATGGCCATGTTCCAGAAACAGTCTCTCCTGACATTTCACCCACATCTGAGAATGCCTGCCATAGATGTGGGCAAAACGCCAGGAGAGAATGCTTCTGGAACATGGCCATACAGTCCGGGAAACTCACAGCAATCCAATGACTAACATGCTTCGATAAGCATTTGTTTCTGTTCTGTCTATGACACACAACCTGTTATGTTGAGTCACAGAACACTTTTGATATCATAACTGAAAAGATATATTCGTTTCCATCTCTAAAATATGCTTGAGACAATATTCAATTCATCTTCAATGCCAGAATGTAATTTTAAGTGATCATTCTAACACTTAGACCTTTCTACACTGTGGACCT